GCCTGCCATGATAGAGTCTGTTCTTACAGAGCTCCCTGCTTTAATCAGTGAGAATGACATGCACGTTTCCCAAGTGGCAATCGCATTCCTTACTACTTTAGCTAAGGTTTATCCATCCTGCATCTCTAAGATCACTGGTTCAGTTCTTGCTGAAATCTTTCAGCTTGTCCACTCACCTTTGCTTCAAGGAGGGGCTCTGAACGCTATCATTGACTTCTTCCAGGCTCTGGTTCTGACAAAGGCAGCCACTGTGGGCTACTCAGAGCTGTTGAAGCAGCTGACTGCACCCGTGTACTCCTCAGGTCCGCCTGAGGCATCGGCAGCCTTACACAAACAGGCGTATTATTCTGCTGCAAAGTGCGTGGCAGCCCTTTCCTCAGCCTGCCCCAAAGAAGCCCCTGGGACAGTGAACCAGTTTATCCAGGATGTAAAAAGCCCCAAATGCAGCGCTGCTGTAAAGGTGCTAGCCTTCCTTTCTCTGGCAGAGATGGGGCGCACCACGAACCTTACGAGTGCTCAGAAGGAGCTCAAAACTGTCATCCTGGAAGCATTCGCTTCCCCCAGCGAAGAGGTGAAATCTGCTGCTTCCTATGCATTGGGGAACATCAGTGTAGGAAATCTTAAGGAGTATCTTCCCTTCATGCTGAAAGAGATTGAAAGCCAGCCCAAGAGACAGTACCTCCTGCTGCACTCTTTAAAAGAAGTCATTAGCTCTTCCCCAGCCGACAGCCTCAAGCCTTACGTGGAGGATATTTGGGCTCTGCTTTTTAAGCACTGTGAGTGCTCAGAGGAAGGGACGCGCAACGTGGTGGCCGAGTGCTTGGGGAAGCTAACTCTGGTGAATCCCTCTGAGCTGCTGCCTCGGCTGAAAAAGCAGCTGTCATCAGGTAATGATACGAAGAGCAGTGCTGAGATGGAGTGGTGCTTTGTTTTGCAAGGTCCTCTTGTAAACCACTAGTGGGGGCCACGAGGAGAAAGGCAGTCCGGAGAGGTGAAAAGGAGACAAGGGATCTTTTCGAGGGGTTCAAAGGAGTACTGCACTGCGTGGGCTGTGGGAGGTGGCTCACAGCAGGGACTGATCAAAGACACTGTGCTGGGAGAGGTTGTTCAGACAAATCCTCAGCCCACTTTTCAGTGTATGTCTGCTGAAACTGAGAGCAGAATATATGCTACAAAGTTAAAGTGATGATTTTGTCTCTTGATCTGTCACTGTTTTCTTCTTTCCATCTTTGTCACAGGCTCTCCGCATGCCCGCAGTACGGTGGTGACTGCAGTCAAATTCACAATTGCAGACCATCCTCAACCTATTGATGCTCTCCTGAAAGGCTGCATAGGTAAGCTAGTAAAAGTCACAGAGTGAGCCAGGAACAGGTTTTGGCTTTCATTAACAACTCAGGGATTTTTCACACCTGCGTGAGCCTCACCTAATCCAGTTATTTTTCTGCAGTGTTTCTCTGCTTTTGGCACTCAGGAGGAGCACTGTCACGTGGGCCCTTGCTAAATGTTGTGATACTCTGCTCTTGGGCATATTCTGTTGGTGGCAGAGATTTTTAGGAAGCATTAACTCCCTCTGCTTTCAAATGTACGGTTCAAGTGTTATGCACACAGGATCTTGTGAAACACAACCTAAATTAAGGCCTTATACCCTGTAGGGAGCCTCTGTCTCAGATTTGTTGTATGGAAGTAGGCCTTCTATTTCTGAGAAGTCTTATTGGAGCGAAGTAGATCTAAGCAAGAAAAAAGAACACCGTCCTTGAATACTGAACCTTCTGATGTGACTTTAAGGGAAGGTCTGTGGTAGCTAGAATCTTGCTGTTTATCTTTATGCCCATATGCAAAAAAGTCACAATTCTTCTATTTACTGTATCCAGAATGAAAGTATCTCCAGTGTCTGTTAGACCATGCCCCTAAAGTTATTTCACCATAGCTATATCCAAGCTACATCAAGAATACACTGTAGTGTTCTTGTGTCAGTTACAATTGCTTCTTGGTGGACTTGTAAAACACTGCCTGATGTGTTCTCAACCCACAGGTAACTTCTTAAAAACCTTTCAGGATTCAGACCTGAATGTTCGACGTGTGGCTTTAGCCATGTTTAATTCTGCTGCTCATAACAAACCCTCTTTAATCCGGGACTTGCTAAATGCAGTTCTCCCCAGCTTATATAATGAAACAAAGGTCAGAAGAGAACTCATCCGAGAGGTATGTCATCAGTTTGTCCTGAGTGCGGTACGGCAGCAGCTGTGTGTGTGTGAAGCTGTCATGCTGCCTGCTGGTAGGTTACAGCTCTATTTTTTTTCTTGTTTAAGGTAGAAATGGGGCCATTCAAACACACAGTGGATGATGGCCTTGATGTGAGGAAAGCTGCTTTTGAATGCATGTACACGCTGCTGGAAAGCTGTCTTGACCGGCTGGATATCTATGAGTACCTGAACCATGTGGAGGATGGACTGAAGGATCACTATGATATTCAGGTGAGTAGATGCTTTGCCAAAACTGCTGTAGGATGGAGAAGTCACTGATGTTATTCAGCTCTGAGGGAGCCAGGGCATGACTCATAGCTTGATCGGAGCACTATTTCCTTTTCATTCTGTTTGATCTACCTCCTCTTAGAAGGGGTACAGCAGTGGCACAATTGCTGGGGTGAACACAGCCTTTCTCTGAAAAGCTGAGCACCCCACAGACACCTGGGAGCAGGAGGCCTGGGACCTGAGTCCAGCTGGGCACCTGTTGTACGCTGGCTGCTAGCAGGTGCATTTCTAATTATGACACTTAATAAAACCCCTTACCGAAGTGCAGAAGAAATCACTGGTACAGATGCCATGATGAGAGCACAGCCTTCTGCAGACAGGATCCATGCTGGAGTCAGGGGACTGGAGGGTGTAGCGAAGCAGCACATTTTATCTTTCTTCCTTTGTCTAGATGCTGACTTTCATAATGCTGGCTCGGCTGTCCACACTCTGTCCTAATGCAGTTCTGCAGAGGCTCGAGCGACTGATCGAACCGCTCCGGGCAACCTGCTCCACAAAGGTGAGGTCAGAGCGGGACGTGCTGGGGGTGCGTTCTGCCACCTGTGCCCTTCGCCCTGTTACTACTTCTGAGCAACCTGCTCCCCAAGTTCCTCTGGCTAGAAAACTATCTGCTCGCTCTGCTGATGTGGTCAGTGTTGTGCCAGCATCATCTTTTCTTAATCCCAACTGAAGATTCTGCTTTGGATTTTTAGGTAAAAGCTGGATCAGTGAAACAGGAGTTTGAAAAGCAGGATGAATTGAAGCGATCGGCAATGAGAGCAGTAGCTGCTCTCCTGACCATCCCTGAAGTAGAGAAGAGTCCAGTGATGGCTGAATTTTCTTCTCAAATCAGATCCAGTCCTGAAATGGCATCGCTTTTTGAAAGTATTCAGAAAGACACTGCTTCTCTGCCCACTACAGAATCAATGGACATGAGCTAAGGCTCTGCCCTGTACTCCATTGCCTGCCTCACCATGCATGAACCAAGGGATGTTTCTCAGGTGGGCAGTGAGGATGTCATCAAGCTGCTCTCTGGTGCAGCAGCTACTTGGCAGTCAGCGAGTGCCAGCAGAAGTAGCTGCTTCTGGCTGCACCTGTGGGCACCAGGCATCTCACTGCATTTTAACGTGATAGTGAGATCAAGGAAAGCATTGCCCCCGTGCAGGGACGAGAGTAGATGTGTATGCTAAGTTTCAGTGAGCTTTTACAGGGTATGTCAAGCAATTTAGCATGATGCCATGGAAAATGGAAACCTCCTGGAATATTTCCCTACGGAAGTGCAAAGAGAAATAGCTTAAAAGTTTGTTGTTGTTTTTTAACCACTGCACATGCACTTTTTACTCCAAATTGCCTGAAGAATGTATTGTTTCACTACATAACATGGCTAAAATCTGCGTGTCTTTTAAATAGTAATGTACACCATAAGCATAGGACCTTTGTCAAGAAGAGGAAGGAGACTTGCATGAGCAAAGCTGCACAAGCTGCAGCTGGATTGTTCTTACCAAGACATCCCAACCTGTCTGTTCAGGGCTAGATTCATGCAACGTGTGATAGCTGGGTATTTCCACAGCGTTTCAGCAATACTTTTTTTCCTACTTTTTACTGCAGAATACCTCAATAGGCTGCCTTCCAATGAGACTGCAGGATTGTAGTACAATACAAGTCATTTACTAAGCTTTTCTCTGCATTAAGCAGTGGCCTCTCTTTGCCCCTTGGAGCAGATCAGTGTTTGTACTGAGTGACCACCACCACAGCACCCATCTGCTCCAAATTCTGGTCATTAAATTACACAGCAGCAACACAAATTAGGAGAGAAGCTCATATTGAGTGCTCCAGTATCACAGGTGAATCTCAGTAACTAGAGTTGCAGAGTTGCTGAAACACACAGTCCACAGTACCTTCTGTCATTTGAAAACTCTAAAGCAGATGTTTTGTTCTAATACTGCTTTGCAGAGGGGAATAAAAGCCTTACGAGAAAATGTAACAGCAAATTAGAGAACAAGGGCACCACGACACATTTCTTACAGCCATGGAGTTGTAATAAGTTTTCATTTCTCATTTTTGACAGCGGTTGATGTGAAAAAATATTTATAGTGCAGTGTTAAAGAATATCCACCCTGTTTGAGTGGTAACTTAAAATAAAAAATGTGCCTATGAAGCCGTGTTCGTTCCTGAATTCATTACTTATCACAGCAACGTTACATTGCTAACACTACTAGGAGCCTACAGAACAAGGAACGTCTGCTTTCACGACCTTTTCTTAGCCTCCACTAAGATGTCAGTTCCCTCCCCTGCAGCATGCTCAGAAGTAGGGTACGGCTCCAGGCCCCCTGGAGCACAAGTACCTGGAAGGAAGCAAATCGCCAGATAAAAGCAAGAGATGCACAAAGTGCACTGCTGCAAGTCCACTGTCAGCACAAACCTCAAGTGCAAGTGGAGTCACAGCACTGTGTGCCAAGCCCTCAGAAACAGGCAACAGGCCAATTCTGATCAGTTTGTTTTTACACTTTATTAAATACATCCCAGATGTGGAAGCCAGCTTATTCATTTTCCTCACTGCGCAGTCTGGCATTTGGATTGGTGATCTTGATGGCGAGCTGAGCCGCTCTCTCCACAATGACCTTCCGGTTCTTGGAAGACACGTTGTGAGCAATCTCTGCACAGTATGACCTGCAGGGAACAGACCACGTGTTAAGCCTGCCTTGACCTGATGTTTAGCAGCAGGGCAGACAAAGCAGTGAGAGCCATCCTGCCGACAGCAGAGCACAGGAGTTTAACAACAAGCCACAGACAGAGGTTTGACAGCCTCAGGCTCTCCATTCACCTTCCAGCACCGCAGTGCTGAGTAAAGCAAGACAGTGCCTGTGTTCCCCAAAGCTGCACACCTCCCAGGCCTCACACCTGCATCCTCCTGCCTCAGTGCCATTATGGGATGGCAGCACAGCAGCACAGCTGCAGCAGTGACTGCAGAACTGCAGCAACAACTCAGGGCATGGATGGGGAATAAACCCAGGGACTTACTTGTTGCTCATCATGAGCACCTCCAGCTCTTTGACATTGTGGACCAGAAACTTCCTGAATCCCGTGGGCAGCATATGCTTTGTCTTCTTGTTGCTCCCATAACCAATGTTAGGCATCAGGATCTGGCCCTTGAACCTCCTGCGAACTCTGTTATCGATACCTCTCGGTTTCCGCCAGTTGCGCTGAAGAAACATGGGAAGCATTTTCAGTTACAAAAGCACATCAGTGTGAGAACACCTGCACCAAGGTTGGCCAAAACCAACCTACAAAGATTCACTGTGCTGCACTGCTGTATCATGTCCCACGGGCCTCACACCTGCGTTACCACTGCCCAGCGCACAGCTGCAATACCTGACCTTTATGTTCTAATTCATCGCCAGCCCTCCAGGCAATCATAAACCCAACCTTCCCCAAAGTGCTCCTGTAAGGAAGTTTCCGTGAGCTTTTACCTTGATCTTGACATAGCGATCAGACTGATGGCGGATGAACTTCTTGGTCCTCTTCTTAACGATCTTAGGCTTCACGAGAGGCCGGAGGGCAGGCATGGCGGCTGAGGGAAACGGAGCAGGATGAGAAAAGACGCGACACAGCGGCGATGCATCACCCCGCCAACGAGGGCTGTAGCAGGCTATCTTCCACCCCCTAGCCACCGCCAGAGCCAGGGAGGGAATGGGTGTTCCTCTGCAGTTCTCTCCCTCCCGTGTCCGAAGCTGGCGGAGCACCACGAGCTCCCCAGATGCGATCCTGGGAGGCGGCCCGCCCTCAGCTCCCCACGCCCGCTCTCGGACGCTCCGTTCCCCGCCCACCGACTTCAGGGCCCCGCCGGTTCCACAGCAGCCGCGCAGCGGGCAGCGGCCGGAGCGCCTTTAAGGCCGGAACGTTCCGAGCGCTCACCCAGCTCAGACCCGACGGCAGCGCGGACCCGGCCCGGAGCCCCCAGCACCGCCTGTGGGCCGCGCCCGGTTCACCGCTGCTGGAAGCGACGCACGCACGGCCCCTGCGCGCGAGCCCGGCCTCGTTGGCCCCGGCGCCGCCAGGCTACGGGCCGCGGAAAGGCCCCGGCGCCATGGCTCCCCGCACGGCGCGGAGGCCCCGGGGCGGGCGGCGGGGCCGGGCGGGCGCTCCCGGGGCGGATGGCGGCGGATGGCGGCGCTCACCTGCTAGGCGATGGCGCCGGCACGGCACGGCCCGCCGAGAGAGGGAGGGGCCGCCGCGCGCAGGGGCTCATGGGAGTCCTGGGCGGTACTGGCAGGTCAGCGCCGCCCCCCGCGAGCACGGAACGAGCACCGGGAGGAAGCGGCTGCCTCTCGCGGCGTCACGCGGAGCCCTGAGCCGCAGCAAGGTGCGACGCGTTCTGGAAGGCGTCTCGGGAGAACGGGTAGGCGCTTCCTCTACGTCCCGCTCTGCGCGTTCACTACGAAGCTGACAGGACCTGCCCGGCGCCACTTCCGCCACGGAGCTCAGAGCCGGGCGCACGCGACTTCCGCCAGCCCCGCTAAGCGAGAGAGCGCCCCCTGGCGGCGAGGCACGGGCTGGCGGAACGGCAGCGCGGCGCGTTCGGTTTAAGGGAACTTTACAGGAACAGATGCTACAAAAAGTTAGATATATTTATTAAAAACCTTTAAAGCACTTGAACATTTTATTACAGTGATTATCTGAGCTGGTGTCACACCAACATATAAACCAAGAACGTGATGTTCAGCACAGCGCCGACGCTGCGCAGCCCACTGCTGGCACACGTGGAGGCTGTGCTCAGTCCACGCTCAGCTTCTCATGGTTTTCCCAGAGCCAAGTGTGGTAGATGTTCAACTTGTGGTCCTGAGGCTGCACCTAAAACCTCAACAAAAGTAATTAATGTTCACTTGAATATCTTAACACACCTGACAGCTCCAACCACCCGAGCTGCTTCCCCTCCCAGCTCACAAACCTGCCCTTGTCCAACCCCCAGTGCCAGTCAGAGCAGCAGCCCCCTGCCACACGTGAGCTAAGGCAGATGGATCAGTCAGCCTTGACTTAAGGCAGACTTGCAAAAAAATACATTCTGAGAATTCAACTAATTGAAAATAAAATTTAAAAAAATATATTATTATTTTTAAATCCAAGTGAGTGCACGTGTGACAGCGGCAGGAGGCCAGGCCAGGCCCACACTGCCTGCACAGCCCCACTCACAGCAGCACTGCGTACCTCTTTCCATTCATTGACGCAGAAGATTCTGTAGGAGTCATTTCCGTACTTCCCGATTCCGTGCAGCTCAATGGGGTACTTCCACTGCTTGTTCAGGTACTCGTCTGGAACACACGCACAGCCCTCACCATGCAGGCCCAGGTCTGAGCAGACACGATGCTGCCCCAGACCTGCACGTGGCAGCATTTTCAACAAAACCACTACAAACACCACAAGTTACTCAGTTAAGACAATCTGATCAGCAGTTTTGCACGGGTAAAACATCTCCCAGACCAGCAGGACTCTCCAGGGGAAGATGTCACAGAGCACAGTTAGGAAAATAACTGTAGTTTTCTTGCTAACGCGATTTACATCATTCCACAAACACAGCCATAAACTTACCTGAAAACTTGATTATAGTTTTTGCTCTGAGTGCATAGAGGCCGAGAGGTCTGAGCAGCTCCGACATTTCTTTCCAGTCTGCAGTTCTGGCTACTTCAGGGGAAGGGTACTTCCTGAGGAACTCCCAGAGCACAGGGATCGCCATTTTACCTGGTCAAAGAAACCATCATCAGCTGTGCAGGTAACTATGCATGGTTTTTGCCAAGGCAGAAGAAACAAATTATTGTGGTTTTGTTTTTGTTTTTTGTTTTTTAAACATCAACACAAACACATATATTTACTCTTTCATTAATGACACAAAAAGATTGGCAGCTGTTTCAATCCTATATCACCACCCAACATTTACACAACATGAAACTGTGTTACTCCATTTACCTGAAGTCTTATTGAGAAATATGGTCGCAATGAGAAGTTTCCACGGATCATGGAAAAGTGTTTCTTGGACCAAATTAAAAGGGGAGCGTGGAGGAGTCCATTTTCTGAAGGCCTTCCTCCTAGGCGGGCTGGGAGCTGTACACAAAGGCAATATGAGGAGATACATAGGGTAATAAAGGATGGAATGACATATTTAGAGGAAAAAAAGTTTAAATGAAGAACTTTTGAAGCAGGCTCATCTCTGTGGGCACAGCACTGGCAGTTTGTGATTCTCTTTGACAAGGCCGCAGGGGACACGTGTGCTCTCACTGTAAGCCCACAGTGAAGGCTGCCTGTATGTGCACCATGCACGCGTTTCCTGCATTGTCACTCCGTCCTGAGCCACCTTATTCCTCTCCCCTGCAAAATGGTAGTTATGTCCCTAAGGAGTATCCTACCTTCTTTACTGTATTTACTTGAAAAATACGGACTCGTTTTCCTCCTATCCACCTGTGCCCGTGGGACAGCTTCTTCTGTAAAGAAATGATACTCAGTATTAAAATGGAAAACCTCACACAGTTCGCCGTCATGGCTCATAGACCATTTCCTCCTTAATTTGTGGTGGAATTACACAGATTCTACATAGGAATGCATAACACAGAAGTGTTTTTCTGCATTTGAGCTCTGAGAAAAACATTCTGAAGAGAAATCAGGACTCCAATGCAGCCTGGAAAACAGGTTCAAACGACAGCTAAGAATTCCACCCTGTCCCCACACACTCCGTCATGAAAGAAGCTACAACTAAAGCCTTCTTCACAAAGCAAAGGGACCAACACAGCACCAGCACTAAGAGGCAGCTCATCACTCGATTGCACCGCGCAGCTGAAGAGACCAAAAGAGCTTCAGAAACGAGCAGTACAGAAGGCGCTTGTCCCGAAACCAAATGCTTTTGTCGGGAAGCTCAGGACAACCCGTCAGAGCACCGTTCTGCTCAAAGCACTCCCATACCTCGCTGTATCTCAGCTGCCGTGAAGCTCTCGTTGTCCGCAGGCCGCAAGCCGTCGGCATCCATTTCGGGTCCGGGTTTGGAGCGCCGCGTTCCCGGATCCCCCGGCTGTCCCCCCGCGTTCCAGCCGCCGTTTCTCCCCCGGCCTCGCACAGCGGGCGCCGCCGCAGCCCCGCCCCGCCGCCCCGCCGCCCGATCCGCGGCCGCTCCCAGCGCCGGACCCGCGCGGAGCCCGGCCGCGACGCGCCGCGATCCCGGAGCCGCGGGCGCTGCGTGCGGCTCCCGGCGGCCGTCCCGCCCAGCCGCGGCCGGCTCTTCGCTGCCCGCCCCGGCGTGAGCGTCAGCGCGCTCCACTTCCCGTCGGCCCCGCGCCGTCCTCCGCCTCTTGCTGCGGGCGCTCCCTCCGTCACTCCCTACGGAGCTGCTCCTGGCTCCGCCGTCCCGCACGGCTCTCCCGGCCGCCTCCGCTCCGGCGCCGCGCGGGCCCCGCTCCGCCTTCCCGCCGCTGTCGCGCCGCGGCTCGGACCCATCGCTCCCGGGGCTCCGCGCTCCGCCGTTCCGCCCCCCGCTCCCAGCCGGGGCCGCGGCGCCTCCAGCCGAGCCGGCGGGACGGCGGCGCTCCGCCAGCGCCCGTCCGGATCGCGGCGTCGTTCCTTCGGCGCTGCGGCGGAGAGAACGGCGGGCCGTCAGCGGGGCCGCTTCCCCCGCCCGCCCCGTCGGAGGGCAGCCGGGGGGGGGGGGCCGGGCCGCCTCCCGTGACCGGACGGGGCTCCCGCAGCGCCGGGAGGCGGCAGCAGCGCCGGCAGCACGCGCGGCTCCGCCAGCGAGGCGCGGCGGGACCCGTCCGCGTGACCCCGCGTGACCTCACCCTCGCGCGCCGCTCCCGCCTCCCGGAGACGCGCGTCGGCGGCGCGCTCGCTCCATCCCCGCTTTGACGTCGCCCGCCCGCCGGTCGCCATGGAAACCGCCTCGGCGCGGGGCGGCCTCGTGAAGGGGCGCTTCCGGACGCCGCGGTCACGTGACGCCCCTCGCGGCCCAGCCGAGCGGCGCCCCCTGCCGTCGCGGCGGTCCGGCGGGCCTCCGGGCGCCTGCGCGTTGCCCGGGGAGCCGGCGGCGCGACCGACCCGGCGGCCGAGCGCGGTCCGGGCCCGGCATGCGGGCCGCGCTCACCTGGCGGGACCGGGCCGAGCACTGGTGAGCGCCGCGGGGCGGCGGGGAGCGCCGGGCCGGCAGTGAGCGCGGGCCGGGCCGGGCGGCGCTCGGGGCGGGGCTCTGCTGCCGGAGGTCCCGGGCACGGCACGAGCCGCGGACGTCGGGCCGTCTCTTCCCCAGCATCTACGACCTCGCGTTCAAGCCGGACGGGACGCAGCTGATCGTTGCCGCCGGCAATCGGCTCCTGGTACGGACACCGTGCTTCCCGCGCTGGGAGCGCGCTCCTCCGCGCTTAACGCGCCGCGAAGCCCGGCCGTCCGCGCGCGCTGCGGGCCGGCTGCGGGGCGCTGCGGTGCTGCCACATCCGAGTGCTGCCACATCCGAGCGCCGCCTCGCACTGCGATTTCCGTTCCTGCGGCATCTCCCGCCGCCGCGGCCCGCAGCTGCCGGCCGCCCGCCTCGCGCAGAGCCGGCGCGATGCGCGCCGTGCGAACGCTGCCGTTACGGCCGGCAGCAAATTAGTGCTGCGCTAAGCTGAGGTTGTCACGACGATCCCGACCCCTGTGAAGAGGAGAAAGAAACTCGCGTTTCTGTTCGTGCTTTGAGCTGAGCCTCACGGTGAGCCTGTCAGCCCCACGCCTGCCTGCGCGTGCCCGGCTCCAGCACCAGCAGCACAGCGCCGCCTCGCTCCTCCCTTGCAGCGCAGGGCTGAGCGCTGAGCGCTGAGCGCTGTTCTGAGCTAGAAGCACACGGACCTTCACGCTGCTGGGGCTGGCAGTGGTGTATTTAATGATGGCCCTTTCCAGTAGCTTATTATACATAAACAATACAAGGAAGGAGAGGTATGAGCCGGAACATGGAGGCCCTGTGAGCTGTTTAGAGATTTCATGTGTGTGTGTCATTTTCTAGTGCTAGTCTTCTGTGCCAAGTGTTAGAAAAGTATTGTTTGTTAAGGAAAACTGCTTTTACACTTTAAAATGCCTTAATCTGCATGAATCATATTGCTTGCAAAAAACTAAACAGAAAAGAAAATGCAGTATCTTCCTGGCCTTCAGTAATTTTGTGTCATAGTCCTCATCCTGAATATTTCTTTCTGGTTATTTGTGCAGGTATATGATACTTCTGATGGAACCTTAATTCAACCTCTGAAGGGACATAAGGACACTGTGTACTGTGTGGCTTATGCTAAAGATGGTAAATATTACTTCTGTCGGACTTTCTTAGTCTGACTTGTAAAGTGTGTAATATCTTCCATTCCTTATGGTAAACTGATTAAAAAAAAATGGGGTTCTTCCAGTAAGGGGATTTTTGAGTGTTGTGTGTATGTGTTGGCTTTGTTGTTTGTATGATTGAGCTTTTTTTACATGAAAAAAGCCACTGAGGTCTCATGCAGCTGAGGAAGCACAGGCACACCAGGACGCTTGCAGTGTTAGGCTCTTTATGGTTTGAGCCTCGTCAAGTTCAAGAACATCTTGCTCTCTCTTGTGCTGAATATTGGGTGAGTACGGGATTCGTATGTGTGGGATTTAAACTGTATCTAATTCCTAGGCAAACGCTTTGCATCTGGCTCAGCTGATAAAAGTGTGATCATTTGGACTTCAAAGCTAGAAGGAATTCTGAAATACACGTAAGTGCTGGCTTTCAATCCTGTGCATCTCCGGTGCAAACCTTCATTATGCACTTCTGCTCCCAGTAAGTGATGTTAGAGCTGGAAGAAGGTTAACTAAGGTTAGAGAAAATGCCAGTGAGTAATACAAGAGGGAAGAGGAGAGCAGTTGAAGTGTCTGGATGAGGCGGGAAAGCAATTAAAGGCATAAATGAGGGTGAAAAGTCTCGATAAATCTCTGATGTATTTAAAGGAAATTCTGTAAGATGAAATGGAATGAAACAGAATATAACTCATCTTGTGTAATAAATCAAAGCAATATAAACCTAGGTCATAGACCAAGCTGAAGGTAAGGTTTGGTACTTTTCCACACAGTATATTTTCATCTTTCTTTTGGCTTTGTTTCATGTCATGTCTTTTCAGCTACATCTTCGAATTCTGTTTCTGAATATGTTTGTACAGTTGTTGCTGCTTGGTATGCACAAGCCAGTGCACTGGGTAGGAGAACACACAAGGGCACTTATTTTAGAGTTTGGATATAACCGTTAATCACATTTTACAAACCACCATTTATGCACATATTGAACTCATCTTGATGGAACAGTGAATCCTGCCGTTTAGTGACAGTGTTTCTTAGAATTTATTATTGATTTAGTTTACAGTAATTGCAGATTAATTTGATGTAATATAAGCTGATCAAGTTATTTCTGCCATCTGGTGAGCCTTTCAGCTACTTTGCTGAAAGTCAGAAAGAGGCGTTTAAGAATGATTTATTGAAATGTGATTGTAACTTCATTCTAGGCATAATGACTCTATACAGTGCGTTTCATACAACCCTCTTACTCATCAGTTGGCATCCTGCTCTTCCAGTGATTTTGGTATGTCTTTTTCTCACTTTTCCACTAAGCCTGCAAGTTCTGTACAAGTTTCACAGCTAAGCTAACAACAGATTTGTACAGCTCTTTTTATCTGGGAGAAACCAGATGTTGCCCAAAGTTACTTATGTGTATCACTAAAAGTCAGTTGATGAGGACTGTGTTGTGAGATGTCCCAGAACAAATGTACCTTCTTACTGTGATTTTTCCTCTCTCTGTGTTAAATATATCTATTTTTTCCTCTTTACTATTTGCATAGTATGTATTTAAATGTCCTAGCAGTGAGACTTTGTTCCGTCTGAAGTCCGAGCTGACTTTCCTGACAATGCTGATTTCTAATCTGAACACTGGTAAAAGTTTTCTTATCATTTACTTCAGCTTTTTCTTCATTTTAATCAAGGCTTGTGGTCGCCTGAACAGAAATCAGTCTCTAAACATAAAACTGGCAGTAAGATAACTTGCTGTAGGTAAGTGTTCTTTAAGTTAGTTTCAATATAAACAGTTTAAAATAGTGTGCAGGCTTATGGAAAAAAAAGTTCAAGCAAAATAGCTCAAGTCTGTGGAGACAGAGTACCCAGCAGGAGAGAGGATCTCCTAAGCTGCTGTTGAGAAGCGTTACATTTCATGTGACTCTGCCATTCTCATCATTAAAATATTTGAGTAGTATTAAGAATACTCAGATAGAAGACAAATATTTATCAAAGATGACTTGTGCTTTCCTGTGTTGTCTTCTCAGAGAGCTATTTTTCTTTCTTTGTCTTGTTTTAGATAGCAGAGGGTTTTGGTTTCTATTAGGTACTGTTTACAAGAGTACATATATAATTATTCAAAATATACAATATATATTTAACCCTTCAGAAGGTGTCAGAGAGGTGCTCTGCTCTTGTGCGAGTGCCTGAACTTCTGCCTCCATCTGTTCAGCCAACTTGTGCAGCAGCAGTGAAATGAAGTTAGAGGGAAAATGAGTATGCTTTTTTCATAGAGCTGCTCATCTTATGTGTCGTTGGCATTTGCAGAAGGTGTTATTATTCCTCTGCAGAACCTGAAGCAAGGGTACGTTAATTTGTGTCAAGTCATCCAGTTGGCTGCAGTAGAGACAAGAAGAGAAAGCAGTTCTCTCCTGTCCCCACCACATGCAGTGTCAGTGTTCCGGATGTGGCTTTGAAAAGCCTGGTCTACTGCCAGCACTCATTCCCAAAAATGCATCTGTTAATTAGCACATGATACAAACACCACAAGCAGATGATAGCTTTAATTTTTTTTGTCGTTGTTTCCACCTTTTTCTAATTTGTGTATGTAATGAAAAGTTCTTGCTGTGTTGCATGCTGTTGCCATAAATGCGGCTTTAGGTTCATAAACAACTGTGAGGATTGCTGGCTCTGTTCCAGAACCCCCTTTAAAAAGAGTATTTCAACATACCATCCCTATTTGTACCATTCTGCCTTCCTGCTGCTTGGTTTTAGCTGTTCTCTCTTCAGTTCGTGTGTGTTTTATCAGTTGGACAAACGATGGCCAGTACCTTGCTTTGGGGATGTTCAACGGAGTCATCAGCATACGGAATAAAAATGGTGATGAGAAAGTTAAAATAGAGCGTACTGGGGCTGCCTCATCTCCAATATGGTCCATTTGTTGGAATCCATCCAGGTAAATTGTCATCCCACCCTTTTCCACGCTGTCTGATTAGTCCTTGGTTTATTGATAACAGAAAGCCTGACCTGCATCCCTGCTGGAGCAGGTTCACGGCAGGTAACGGTACGCTGCCTTTTGCTGTGGGTATGAATTGGGGCTTGGCTTTGCCAGTTGTTCAATACATGAAAGAAAATGGGAACAAATTCCAGCTAGATATCATGAAACGTTGATTTTGCTTTTTTTGTTGTTGGATTTCAGCCTGTTTTTGGGGGAGAGGAGGGTGGGCTGTTTGCACTTACTGTGCCATATATGTGAATAAACAATTGCTATTGCAGTCGATGGGAGAAATTTTGGAGTAGAGCAGATGAAGAAGAGGAATCAGATAACGGCCATTTAGAGAAGTCAGATAACAGCCAGTTAGAGGAGATACCAGAATTGAAACCCAACCCTGACAGTGGGCAGGATAATGAGGAAAAGATAGAAGACAATGAGAAAGAAGAGGCTAAGCATTTCGACTTGTGAGTGAGACTACAATGGATAACATATATACATGTACATACATATATACACATATGTATAACATAGAAGAGCAATTTACAAAAAGGACCAAAGGCAAAGGGAATTTATGCAGGGTGCAAAATTCAGAAGTTACCAAATTCTGGATTAAGTGTCATTCTTATTGTCTTAATTTATTCCA